TCAATCTTTCATCACCTAATCTTTTTGTTATCCTCATAACCTTACTCTTTCCTGTATTCACCTTTAATTTTCTTCTTTTGCACACCCTACCAAATTCATCCACCAATCTCTGCAACTTCTCTTCAGAATCTCCCAAGAGCACAGTGTCATCAGCAAAGAGCAGCTGTGACAACTCCCACTTTGTGTGTGATTCTTTATCTTTTAACTCCACGCCTCTTGCCAAGACCCTCGCATTTACTTCTCTTACAACCCCATCTATAAATATATTAAACAACCACGGTGACATCACACATCCTTGTCTAAGGATGTGTGATGTCACACATCACACATATATATATATATATATAATATATATAATATATATATATATATATATATATATATATATATATATATATATATATATATATATATATATATATATATATATATATAAAGAGTAAAGGAATAAATGTGAACGGGAGGTTCTACTTTAGTGTAGGACCCGGTGGTGTTGGGCTGGACCGTTGGGGCTCATGCTCTCAGGTGTACAAAACTCTCCACATTACAACCTTCAGTTGCTAGCTGTCCGTGGTTGTGTGCTAGCGTACATTGTGTTCCCGTGTGCGTCGTGTCATGCACGTCTTGTGTACATCCCAGCACACTTAGGGTTCTCTGGACTCTTGACAGCATTGATAAAAACTTGTAGTAAGTCTTAAGTTGCCTGGGAGGGCCACCAGCTACTCAGGGGGATGTGTTGGTCGGTGTATATTAATGCAGATGTTATTTCCTGATATATTGTTATCTGACGTATTATGGCGTCCTCACACCTGTCTGTAGTCTCTACTCCCTGATTCCCACAGGCATAATAAGCTCTCAGTATCCTACTGTAGCCTGCCTGTGCTCCCTGGGTCACGCAGGCATGATAAGCTCCACATCCTGAAATAGCATATTTGCTCACTGGGTCATGCAGGTATAAATCTCTTCAGGTTCTGTTGTAGCGTCCCTTTGCTCTTTGGGTCATGCAGAACTCTTCACGTCCTGCTGTAGCATGCTCCCGAGGCCTTGTACAGCACGTCTGGTGTGCCTAGTCAGCCAGGCATGATAGGCACTGCTGCTTGAGTCATGGTCGCCTCGTTACAGCGGTTGCTTCCTCCATTCATTTTCGTCTTTGCAAGTTCACCCGAGAGTAAAATTTGAACATTTCTGTAGGAGGTGATGCACTTGAGTTGGTGATGGCGCTAAGTCCTGTCAGAGAGTGGTAACAGTAGTTATTATAATAGTGGCAAAGTTTACACAGGATCAGTGGATTGTAGAGATTTGTCACCTGCTTACATTGTTACCTTTACTCCTGATCAGGTGACCATTACTGGGAACCCCCCTTCTCCCTATCACACTGTTCGCCTAGCAGTAAATAGGTACTGTGCCTGGGAGATAGTCAACTCTGGTAGGTGGCATCCTGGGGAGAACCTAAAGACTTCACAGGCAATAAGTCACACTGCTTACCTTTACTAGGCTACCTTTGATGAGTACTGAGAATTTTTCTATTCCTGGAGCCTGGCCATGGGCCAGGCTCCTCTGATGTTTCCCTGGTCAACCAGGCTGTTGCTACTGGTGATCCCCAGCTCCACATATTCATCACAGCCTAGTTGATCTGGCACCTAGTGAAGATATTGCATTGCCTACTGTACCGCACATTTATCAACAATTCTGAAAATTCAGTCACCATAATCAAGATTAATTTCCTGAACACAAATGTCAGGTCTATGTTTGACATTATGTTACCAGACATGTTGATAGAATTTTCAGAGCTACATTAGTAAATATGCAGCGAAGTACTCTCAGAAGAAGTAGTATTTGCTGATAAATAACTTGTGGGTTGCAACCTTAAACAGATTAGATTAGAAACTCCATTTTTTCTGACAGGAAAATCCAAGGTATTTTGTACTGCGTAAAATGTATCTGCGCATTTATATGTTATTATTTTTATTCGTGGGGAAGCGCTTAAACTGTAGGGATCATACAGCGCCTGGGAAATGAGGCAGTCATGTGTAATAAAAGGAGTAGCTCAAATTCCTTAGATCAAGAGCCCTCCGTGAGCTTTAATGTCAAGTGGGTTTTCGATAACGTGGATGGGGTAAGAATACTCACAAGTGGCGGGGCACACACAACATATTCACTTATTCATTTTTTTTTAGTATATTCTTACAACAAAATCTTGCTGTGACTGATACGACAAAAATTGCTGGCAATAATAATGGTAGACAAGTCTGCGAAAAGATCAGGGAATGAGACACTGCTGGTGTACGGAAAAAAGGTACACATAGAAATAAATGGATAATTTGGTATACGACAAATTCTGGAGAATACAATGCTGAAAGAATACAAGATAAAAATGAATAAATTACTTCACACGGAATGACTGACTGGGGTAAGGAACAAAATACTGCACATAAATAAGGAATACACTTGAACACTACAAAATAATACTTACTAAAGACATAGAGTAGCATAAAAAAAAACACATAAAAAATATGAGATGAGCGATAACACTGAAAAATATTGCAAAAATAATGAGTCAAAGAAACACTGAGTCTACACTGAAAACACAAGGCTTAGAGTACACAAGAAATTCACTGTAAATGTCTCACACACGCAAATGTCTTTAAATCCAAGAAAAATGTCTAAACAGAAAATTATCACTGAAGTCTGGAGTAGTAGATGGAGTGACTAGTGATGAGGGTAAGACATCCTGTGCGGTGATGACGCCTCCTACACTCACACTGTCGTCGGAAGAAATGCTCTTTCTAGGTGAACTCTCATAACTGGCTTTATCGTTGGCGCCAGCTACAATCTCTTGACCAATTATGTGAGCCAAAGCAGTACTAAGACCCGGTACAAGGGTGGAAAAAAACCACAGGTAGATGGTACTATTTCTCTAACCTCATACTTATTACCAGTGATATGTTCAACTACTCGACAAGGACCAACAAACTTTTGATCAAGCTTAGGCATTGCCGACGTTTTGTTAAAGTTAGTCAGCATAACTCTCGAACCTACTTTGATTTTGGACGGCTTTGCTCGAGTGTTAGCGACTCTTGTAAATTCTGCTGTCGATTTATGAAGTGTTTCACGGATTCTTCTAAAGACACTTTGAGCTAAGCTGGTACGAGTTGCTATGAAATCATCAGGGTTGTAATTTGGTTTCGGATTAGAATATAGCAACTCATAAGGCAAACGTTTATCTACACCGTGCAATGCATAATGTGGAGTGTCACCTATGGAAACATTGTAAGCAGAATTTATAGCACACTGCACATCAGATATAACTTCATGCCAAGTTTCACTGTTGGGATTGATAGTGGCTCTCAAGACATCAAGTACTTATTGGTTTGTTCCGCTAACCCATTGTTGGCAGGATCATGAGGAACAATGGTGGATTTAGAGATCTTGTACAAGGTACACAAATTTTCAAGAATCTCATTACAGAATTCACCACCATTATCTGTTACTAGGGACTTAGGGGTGGTATGCCTGCAGATAATGCGTTCTTTAAACGCTTTAGCTACTGTCTCGGCAGTCTTATCTGCAATAGGAACTAACAATATCTGGTGAAATGGTCTACCATAACACATAGATGTTTGTTGCCCTGGAGGGAACATTGGAAATTAGTTAACAAATCTAGCGCAACTCTTTCCCACGGTTCGCTAGTAGTTGGATATACTTGGATTGGATTAGGGCCATTAGCATTACCTTTATGTTGCATGCAGACACTACATTTCTTAACATACTCAGAAATATCAGTTGTCATACGAGGCCAAAGTATTTCAATCTGGCTTGTTTTACTGAACGATCCATACCAGGGTGCGCAACACCTGGTACATCGTGAACTAGCTGTAAGGCTACATTCACTAGTGACTGTGGAATTACTAACTGGTAAACTCTTCTGCTAGGAGTACCCAACTCGGCTGTTCGATACAGTAATTCTTGGTTCATGACAAAGTCACTGATGGGTGCTGGTGGCTTCACAGTCAGAATAAGATCTTCCTGGAGCAGGAATCGAATCACACCAGACCACATGGGATCTGTTCATTGAGCATTCTTTACATCCTCAGCACTAAATGGAGAGTCTGCAGTTACTATACTAACATGTCGTGATAAGGCATCTGCGACTACATTTGACTTGCCAGGTAAGTGTTCAAAGGTGGGATTGAACTCTTGGATAGTCAAGGTCCATCTGGCTAACCTTCCAGTAGGTTGTTTGTTCTGGAATAAAGGTATCAGTGGAGCATGGTCTGTCAAGACATGAACAGAGTCCTGATAAATAATGTCTCGGAAGTGCTTTAAAGACCATTCAATTGCTAAAGCTTCTTGCTCAGTTACTGTATAATTACGTTCAGCTTCCATTCCAATATTCTACTTATGTATGTTATAATGTTCAATTGTTGTGTACTTTGACATTGTATAGAATCAGCCCAAGCCATACACCTGCCGTCTCTAGTTTGTAGTAGCTGTATGTCGGGACGACATACATTAGCGTCGCCGAGCTCTCAGTAGTAGTACCAGTTCCTAGTAACCAGTTACCAGTAACCAGTGTACCAGTAGATGACTCACTACCAACCGTCTGCGTGAATCACTGACTGATTATTCATATTGCTGCTGACCATTGCAGGATTTCAAACACCCCTCACCCGTAGGCACTTGAGAAGATAGGGAGCAGAGAGAGGCAGGTCGGCTGTTGGCGCTTCCCATACTTCCCGTTATATATTATACGTACTACCAGCCTACGTGAGTATTTTTACCCATCCACGTTGTCGAAAACCCACTTGACATTAAGGCACGACGCTTGAAGGAAGGAGGCCTAAGTGAAGCCTCCCAGCTCAGGTTGGCACATTTCATCACTGTAGGCAACCCATCCTAACAGAATATGACAAACAACTTTCGTCCTCATTATCTAAATACCATATAAAATAGTGAATATAATAATAAAAGTGTTATGACCATGTTAATATTCTCTGCAGGCCAGGTATTTGACAACAACCTGATAGTATTATCCATCAGTATACAGACCAATGAGATGTCACGAAGCGTTTGTGTGGAGGGGAGAAGTGTTAGTGCTAGAGAGTGAACTATCAGTGCTGCAAACTGAACTATCAATATTTATGGCTAAAATATAAGTGCTTGAGAGCGAACTGTTAAGTTTAAGTGTATGTATAGTGAAGTGTAACCTCGCGTTGCGAGGCCTCCACATACACTCCTACACTCACGCTGGAAATAAGTGTGGATACGGAAAAGTTGACAGTGGCGTCGTTAGAGGGACGAGAAGTGATGAAGATGGCTGCTGACCCAGCTAGTGGACTGCTCGACCAAGATATACTGCAAGATCACTACATCATCGCTAACAACTTCAATGGTGAGTCACTGTCTGTTCTAAAACTCACCATCACCTCACTGTACTTCTTCCAGGAACTCCAATGGAAATAAGTCTGATTTTATTGGGTTTTCTCAGCTAATTCACAATTTAATAAGACAATTGAAAAAATTAAACTTGTGTAATGTACCTGAATAAACTTGTGCATTCAGACACATTCCTCCACATATTCGTACTCATTCCACCACACACAAATACGACTCAAGTCGATGTGTATAGGAGTCTTTAAGAGGACCTGGATCATTACCTCTCCGTAGCGCCGGGTCAGCTAGACTGTGATGGCTTTGTGGGTCGCTAACAGCAACAACCTTGTTGAACAGGCACAAAACATAAGAACATAAGAACATAAGAACGAAGGAACACTGCAGAAGGCCTACTGGCCCATGCGAGGCAGGTCCAAGTCTCCTACCGGCTTAAGCCAATGCACCCAACCTAGTCAGGTCAGGTCACATTGACTTAAGGGAGGAACACGGCAACCGACCTGGTAGCACAAGCTATCAGGTCTAACTCACACCCACCCACATCCACTCATGTATTTATCCAACCTATTTTTAAAGCTACACAACGTTCTGGCCTCTATAACGGTACTTGGGAGTATGTTCCACTCATCCACAACTCTATTACCAAACCAGTACTTTCCTATATCCTTCCTGAATCTGAATTTTTCCAACTTAAAACCATTGCTGCGAGTCCTGTCTAGGCTAGATATTTTCAGCACACTATTTACATCCCCTTTATTTATTCCTGTCTTCCATTATACACCTCAATCATATCCCCCCTAATTCTACGTCTTTCCAGAGAGTGCAGATTCAGGGCCCTTAGTCTATCCTCATAGGGAAGGTTTCTGATACATGGGATCAACTTTGTCATCCTCCTTTGTACATTTTCCAGAGAATTTATATCCATTCTGTAATAAGGTGACCAAAACTGTGCAGCATAATCTAAATGAGGCCTAACCCAAGGATGTATAGAGTTGAAGAACAACCTGAGGACTCCTATTATTTATGCTTCTTGATATGAAGCCAAGGATTCTATTAGCTTTATTGCGAACACTTATGCACTGTTGTCTTGGTTTCAGATTACTGCTAACCAGAACTCCTAAATCTTTTTCGCAATCCGTAATATTAAGATCTACATTATTTAGTTTATATGTGGCATGGTTATTGTCCTGTCCAACATTTAGAACTTTGCATTTGTCTATATTAAACTGCATCTGCCACTTCTCCGACCACTGCATCAGTCTATTCAAATCTTCCTGGAGTGCTCGAATGTCCTCGTCAGAATGAATTCGACGGCCTATTTTGGTGTCATCGGCAAACTTGCCGATGTCGCTCTTTATGCCCTCATCTATGTCGTTTATGTAGATTGTGAACAGCAGGGGCCCAACACTGACCCCTGTGGAACACCGCTCGTGACGCTTCCCCACTCTGATTTCTCCCCATTTATGCAAACTCTCTGCTGCCTATTTGTCAACCATGCCTCTATCCAGGAAAAAATTTCTCCTCCTATTCCATGTGCTTTAATTTTCCTCAATAGTCTCTGATGTGGGACCCTGTCAAAAGCCTTACTGAAGTCCATATACACAATATCATATTCATTACCATGATCTACCTCCTCAAATACCTTAGTGAAAAAAGTTAATAAATTCGTAAGGCAGGAACGCCCCTTTGTAAAACCATGCTGAGATTCGTTGATTAATTTATGCTTTTCAAGGTGGCTACGAACTGCCTCGGCAATTATTGATTCCATAAATTTTCCCACTATGGAGGTTAGGCTTATTGGTCTATAGTTCGAAGCTAAGGACCTGTCACCTTTACCCCATTACATAAGCAGTCTGTGTGAGACTAAACAATCTCAACACTGTTTAAGTGTCTTCAGGAAATGTCAATAAAGAATATTTTGGGATACCATAGACATGATTCAGCACGTTCAATAACTTTAAAAAAGTCCAAGGGTTTGCAACCAGATTAAACCCAGAGCTGAGAGTAGTATACTGAGCAATAAGGTTAAATTAGGTTCACTACACTTATACATTAACGCAATTCCAATGAATACATTCTTATTAAATGCATACATTGGTGCTAAATTATGCAGTTAACCAAAGATAACCCCAAGAGAGTCACTGGCTTGTGTCCATTGGAACTAAGTAAAATTGACAACTCTGCAAGATAGGGCCAGTAGGGGAGATGTTAGGTATTTACTTAAATAAGCTACGTTAAAAACCATCGGTGCTTTGAAAAAACACTCATTGTTGACAGCTTAAGAACCCCAGTAGCTGCGGTTCTGGGGACTCCGGTGGGTGAGCTTTATCCCATGGGACTGTAATAGAGCGATTATGACCAGGGTTAACACGCTCTGATGACCTATGCTCACCAGTATTTCAAGTGTGTAACGTGGACATGTCTTACCTGAGTTTGGGCAGTCGCCCTCATGTCACGGCATCAATATGGTTAGCCTTATCAACCCTACATCAGTACTTATTACTGCAGTAAACTGCAGTAGATGATAATGATTTGATAGGACTTACCTGGGTGTTTGTATCGATTGACTGAAGGTAGGATGAATCTACTCTTTTTTTTTTTTGTCACTTCTAGTTACGTCTAGTAACACGGGAAAAGTTCATCATACACGCTATGTACCTTTCGAATGTGTCAACGACCTCCAGCACGTCTATAGTCGATTTCTGCTGATAGTGTCTGCGGGTATAAGTGCCAGCTCTGATGAATTATCAAAGAATGCTGAATTTGCAGATTCCTTGACTCCAAGATGATGATAATTGATTATAATGCCACTAGCTGTATCAGGCTAGAGACATATCACTACGTATTTTTAACTGATCTTAGGAATTAAAGTTTTCTCGGGAAAACATTCAAGAGAAATATTTCAGCATTTCGTAGTTTCCTTGACTGCTTCTCCAAGATGTCGGAACGAAGAGAGAGGGAACGTTGCCATCTCCTGCTCAACCCCCTCGTGAAGGTTATGTACATGTCTTCAGAATCAAGATTCCATGATGTTGCATGATTCTGAGGACATGTACATAACCTTCACGACTACGACAACTACTACTACAACTAACCCATCTCTTTGGGTAGGACCTACTTCCACTGGGGAATCCCGCCTACCAGTGACTATGTCCTCGTCTGCTACCCGTCTCATTTTCACCTGACGTTAGTATATAAGCGTCAGGCGCCTTGCTTTTGCTTCAGAATCTCCACGACTACGGTGCTCTTCACACCAACTCCTAGGTTGAGGGACTGATTACCTCATCTTCTGTACATAGTTCTACTATCTTCAAGTTATGTCCTGGAATTTGTATTGATAAAGCCACTGGATGGCGAAACGTCTACAATAAAGATACCCAGATGTTGCACATGTGTCTTAATTTCATCTTGTCGGTATTGTATACCATTCTTGTACAACATTAATTTATCACACTCCGGTATATAATGACGGTGTGACGCACTCCAGTACATAATGACGCAGGGTGTGACGCACTCCAGTACATAATGACGCAAGGTGTGACAATAGTCCATCTGGCAATGTTTACATTTCATTTGGTCTATATCTGGTGGTGGTGATTTAATCTGCCAAAGATACTTATAACCCAGCCGGAGCCGGGCGGCAGTGACATCCAAGAGTCTGCTTATTTTGTTGGAAGCACCATAGACGTGTGGCTCCTCCATGATAGAATGATGATAGATGGATTTACTGATGTCAATCCACCTGAGTATAAGTCAGAAAAGTTCAGTTGAAGTTCTTTTCGTATTATTGTTCTCAAACTGCTGGCAACCCAAGATTGTAATTTACTCCCTCTTTGAGATAGTATAACTTCGTTAGTTCATCAGTTTATATCATGCATCTGAAGACCAATGTGAGATAGAATCCACAGCATGTGCACTCTGACTCCACTATCCACAATCTTACCATACCTGTGTCTGGCTTCTGACACAAGCATGCCACAATTTATACTTAATGAGTTGAGAGCATTTATGGATGACAGAGAATCAGTTACAGTTAAAGTGTCAACCTTAGATACATGGACGCATTTAGTGCAAGGAGTTTGGCAAACAGTTCTGTCTGAAGGGTAGAGGCCCAGTTATTGATGCGTGCTCCAATTTCTTTATGAGAGTCAACAGCAGCACTACCAGCTGCACCAGTGGACTGGTGAACACAACCATCAACGTAAATAATTTGTGAAAGAGTGTGCTGTGTGACTGCGTTATCAGTACAGCTTAAGGCATCCTGTTTGGCTCCAAAATGAAGCTTTGGTTGTGATTTAAGAAGAATTTTGGGGATAATGGAGGAATGGTAGTTTGGAATGGGGTATTGTCCCATGAAGCGGGGAAGCACAACGGTAATGAACTGTTTACATGTTTATATCTGGTCACAGTCGTAATGAGTTATTTATGCAGACATAAATTAGGTCACACACACACAAAACGTAGTAATCCTTTATTTACAGTGAGCAAAGTCAGGATATTTTTCCAGAATGGTTTGTAATACACTATTGTGGATAAAATACTTTGACATATCTTGAGCATTTCTGAGTGAGTTGTCTCTGAATTCATAAATTTTATCTCATTCCAGTACATAATGATGCAAAGTGTGACATTTATCCATTTGGCAAAGTTTACATTTCGTTTGGTCTACATCTGGTGGTGGTGATTTAAACCTCCCAAAGATACTTGTAACCAAGCCTGAGCCGGGCGGTAGTGACACTCAAAGAGTCGGCTTATTTGGTTGGATACACCATAGAGATATAGCTCCTCCTGCATGATAGAATGATAGATGGACTGACTGGTGTCATTCTCCCTCAGTATTCAGTCACTAAAGTTCAGTTGAAGTTCTTTTCGTCTTATTGTTCTCAAACTGCTAATTGACGGCCCAAGATTGTAATCTACTCCCTCTCTGAAGGCATATAAGTTAGCCAGTTTATCAGTTCTATCATGCATCTGAAGACCAGTGTGAGACGGAATCCACAG